TGTTTTGCACTTTCACGATTCAGCTAAAAAAAAAAAAAATCACCGAGATGAAGTTCATAAAGTCTTTTGGTAAATGTGTTCTGCTTCGTGATGATGAAGCGGTGATCTCTGCAAACCCTGTGAGGCTAAGCCCATTTCACAAAACCTCATTTCTTCACATGGCGATGAGAAAGCTACAAGGCAGCCTTTGGTGCTCTTTTGTTTGCTCAGCCAAAATGCAGGGACACCCTGTGGCAAGTGTACTGGAAGGTGCTGGGCTGGTAAAAGGACGAGTGTACAGGGGAAGGAGCATGTGGGCCGAGAAGGGAGACTGAGACTAATGTCAAAGACCCTTGCTCCTGTCAAAGGAGCGGTGCCGTCTGCACCAGAGACCGTGTGGTGCTGTAATGAGTCGAGTGGACTAGTTTTTACAGGTCACGAGCAATTCAAGTCTCAGAAACAATGTCTGCTTATTTGGGTCCTGGAAGAACGTCTGTCCCACACCCTGTGGCAGGCAGCGCAGTGGAGTTGTGCCTCTGTTAGTGACTCTTCTGAACAGTCCCCCGCCCAAGGCATGGATGTGAACTCTGGTTGACTGCTCAGCATCAGCGTCCCCCCTTTGTCTCTCCTCCCCATCCCCCAGAGGTCATTGCGACTTCTATGCAACTGATGGAGGGAAAGGAACAAACTACTGAGAAATGAAGAGTTAATTTAGATGAAAATGTTACCCATGAGTTTTGACCAAAACATTCTCTTATCCAGAGAAAAGCCAGTATCAACATTTACAGATTAAAAAAAAAAAATCTGGAGCCTTTGGAAAACTAATGAGTACATTAAATATGGAAAAAGTAGCTACAGAAAATTAGCTACCTTTTTTCTAAGTGTTTATTGCGTTGTCAGGCACCTCATTTAACCCTCAATTGGTACTTGCCCCATGACATAAATAGCACCATTGGATATACGAGTAAGTTGTGGCTCAGATGATAAGGAACTTGTCCCAAGTGATATGGCTAGTAACCGGCAGAGGGTTCTTCTTGGTGAAGCTGGGTATCACTTAAAATTATCCCGATTAATATGGCATCATTCTATGATAATTCAACAAATACTGATGGATCTCTACTATGTGCCAGATATTATTCTAGGTTTGAGATCCAGTGTCAAAGACAGAATTCCTGCTCTAATGAACTGAAACTTCAGTGCAGAAAATATGTTCACATTCATAGTGGATGTGTGGACAAATAGAATAAGTTCAGACAGCTGTCAGTACCAAGATGATGACACATGGTCACGGGATAACGATAGAGAGGAACCAGAGATGGCTCCACCCCCCATGTGAGGAGTGACATTTATGCTCAGATCTGATTAAAAGGAGCAGGAGGCACCAGTATATGAAGGTGGGCAGGAAGAACATTCTTGGAAGAAAGAACACTATTGTTTTACATTTCTAAGATATATTGGAAATGAAATAATAAATTATGAGTTGGCTAAAAAAAATCTGAACAATACAGCATATCATAGCTACTGGTTAGACTATGAGGGGAGGAAAATATGTCTAATGGACGGTTGCTTAGGCTTTTATTTATATATATAAGCTGCAGCTAAGCAACATCTCACCTTTCTGATTTTTTATTGTCGTTACTCTTCATCTGAGGATACTTTTTCCATTTTTTTTTTTTTGAGAGTAGAATGGAGGGGGAGAAGCAGAGAGAAAAATTAATGTGAGAGAGAGACAGGTGGGAAAAAGCTTGGCAAGTTGGGGAGCAGGAGAGAGACTGCAGCATCTCTGCAGTGTGTGTGTGTGTGTGTGTGTGTGTGTGTGTGTGTGTGTGTGTGTTGGGGTGGGGGGGCTCAGATCTTATAGCCTCACAGGCCAGGCCAAGATACCTGGATTTTATCGTCTGTGCAATGAGGAGGCACTGGAGAGTTTTAAACAAGGTAGTGGTTGGACCTCATCTGTTTTCAGAAAGAATGCTGGCTGGATGGGGAGAAAGGACAGTAGGAAGGCTAAGTAAGAGGATGATGGAAGCTAGAAGCAAAAGACACAGGGAAGAAGAGGAATATTCAGGAGCTGACATGCTGCAAGTAGGGGCTGAGGGAAAGAGAGCTATCAAAGTGACTTTTTTTGTGACCTGAACGAGGTAGGTGGTTGTGTTAAAAAGGCAGCTGGTATTTCAGATTGGAGCTCAGAAGCAATGATAAGAAAAAAAGATAAAAAATGTATGAACTGTCAGCACGTGTGTGGTATTTAAGTCTTGGGACTGACTGAACATGTATCTTGAGATCTGAGACCCTATCACATTTAGAAGAGAAGCCAACAAAGGAAAGAGAAGGACTGGCCAGTGAGGAGGAGGGAAATATGAGTGTGATTCCACAGATGGATGCTCAGAATCAAGTGAGGAAGGCAGAGTCACTTGTCTCCAACACAGCTGAGGAGGTGAGCCAGCTAAAGGCAGCAAGAGACCATTGAGTCTGGTAACACAAAGGTCCTCAGTGACCCTCAGGAGAGTCATTTCAGTGATTGACAAGGAGGTAAGCCTTCCTGGATTGGGCTCAGGGAAGACAAGAGATAGGGAAGGGAAAATGGTAAAATATACACAACACCGCAGAGTCTTGCATTGAAGGAAAGCAGAAAACATGACAATAGCTGGATTATAAAGCTTTATTTGGATTCCTTTTTTTTTTTTAATCCTCGCCCAAGGATATGTTTTTATTGATTTTTAAAGAGGAAGGGGGAGAGAGAAAGAAACACTGATGTTGTGGGGATAAAACCTGCAATCTAGGTATGTGCCCTGATGGGGAATCAAACCCACAATCTTCTGGTTCACAGGATGACACTCCAACCGAGTCAGCCAGCTAAGGTTGGATTCTTATAAAGGTACTAGGGGCCAGGAGCACGGATTCATGCACCAGTGGGGTCCCTCAGCCTGGCCTGCAGGGAATAGGCTGAAACTGGCTCTCCGACATCCCTGAGGGGTCCCAGATTGCTAGATGGCGGTTCTCGGGTGATCCAGAATCAGGCTCCCTCCTTTCTGGTTCCAGGTGTATCACCCAAGAACCACAGCTGCCAAGTCACAGCAGCTTGGCAGCTCCTGTGTTGAGTGTCTGCTCCTGTTGGTCAATGTGTGTCATAGCTACTGGTCAGACTGTCAAATGGTTGGACTGTTGCTTAGGCTTTTATATATACAGATAAGCTGCACTTAAGCAACATTTCACCTTTCTGATTTTTTGTTGTTGTTACTTCTCACCTGAGGATATTTTTTCAATTGATTTTTTTTAAGAGAGTGGAATGGAGGGGGAGAAGCAGAGAAAGAAAAAAAAAAAATCATCAATGTGAGAGAGAGACATTGATTAGTTGCCTCCCACATGTGCCCCCCTGCTGGGGCCTAGGACTGAGTCTGGATAGAGCGTGCAACTAAGGTACATGTCCTTGACCGGAGTCAAACCCGAGACCCTTCAGGCTGTGGGCCAATGCTCTAACCACTGAAAACTAGCTAGGTATTTTTTTTTCTTCATTTTTTAAATTAGGTATTATATGCGTACATATCTTACCTTTGCCCTTACCCAACTCCCATACATGCCCTCATCCCCCAGAGTTTTGTGTCCCTGTTTTTTTTTTTTTTTTAATAATTAGAAACTTCTTTAATCAGAAACCGTACACACTTGATGTTGTTGTTCAGATTTCCCTTAGCTAACTCATAATTTATGATTTTATTTCCAATATACCTTGGAAATGTAAAATAATACAGCTGTAAATATAGATAATAAAGGGAACATAGAAATATCAAACTTAGTTTCAGAAGGTTGAGAGGCACTCAACTAAAATAGAAATTTCATATGTGTCAAGGAAAACCCTAGCGTGTCTGTGGGGATCCTAATGAAACGCTCCTGGAATTACCTCCATGCTGATTTCATGGAACTTCACACTTGCAATTGTACTGGTAAATATTACTGTGTCGAGACCCTACAGGAACACAGTGAAAACTTTAGAGAAGATAATATAAATATAAAATACAAATTAAAAAAATCCAGAATGGATATGTAGGCTTTTATTAGGGCAAGCATTTCCATGACCACAAAATCTCTTTTGAAACAGATGTCCCAAGTATCTTTGTTAGTCATCTAAAATGAACAAAACAAAATTAACTATACATGTAATACATTCAGCATATGAAACAAGACTTCTGAATTTATTTATTTATTTTTTAATATATTTTATTGATTTTTTACAGAGAGGAAGAAAGAGGGATAGAGAGTTAGAAACATCAATGAGCGAGAATCATCAATCAGCTGCCTCTTGCACACCCCTTACTGAGGTTGTGCCCGCAACCAAGGTACATGCCCTTGACTGGAATTGAACCTGGGACCTTTCAGTCTGCAGACCGATGCTCTATCCACTGAGCCAAACTGGTTTTGGCTGAATTTATTTTTAACATTGAGAATTACATTATTTTCCAAATCAGAGTGACCAACAATGTGAAAACCATAATTGATACAGATGACACAATGATACTGCACTTTCCCAAGGTAAAGAAATACATTTGATCTGATATTCCTACGAATCCCATTTGCTATTACAAAATAAATTTTACTGGGCAAAATATTTTTTTAAATCCCAGAAAAAACGGACATGTTCAAAATACAGACATTGCATGTAAATAATTTTAAAATACTATCAGGCATAGAAATGTAGAGATATCATTTAAGTATAAGAAAATGCTATAAAGGAAAGGGTCATCAAAATAGAGAATAAGAGATATTTTGGAAAAAAAAATAATCAAGATCATAAATAGTGGCAACTATTTCTATAGTATAGTTACTGAAATGCCACGGGGAGGGACAGTGAACAGAGCTACCTTCTGAGGTGGCAATGACAAAGAACAGAGATGGCTTTAAAAATGCAGACACATAGCGAATTAACTTACCACCTTCTTCAAATAAGAGATGCCCTTGGGAGTATTTAAGTACCATTAGCAGACACATCTTAAGACAGTTCTTGAAATGCTCTGTATTTCAGTGGGAAACTATTTCAATGGTGAAAACGATGTAGGAATCAGAAGCATATTCTGCTGAGACACTAGGTAACGGACACATTCCCGAACTGGAAAAAAAAAAATAAATCATATAAGAAGGCATATAAAGTTACTGACTAAATCGTATTTGTCTTAAGAGTAATGCCCAGTGAAATGGCTTACCAGCTGCCACGACTCTGGGATCCTCATGAGCCTTATGTCTCCCAGCTGCACGACTATCCGCACTCTCATTCCACCAGAGAACGTGAACTACAGAGAGAAACCAGAAACAGATTCTAAAGACTATGGCATGGCTACAAAGAAGAAATGAAGAAAAGTTCATCAGATATGTTAAATCTTATTCTTTAAGTCAAAAAATTGAGTATCAAAAAAGGTAGACTGAATATGTTGGTGATCTATTTCAGAGGGGTCACAGATTTGGGAGAGACATTTATAAACTGATTCAAAGCTGGTTTTTATAGATGAAACAGAAGGCTAGACAGGGAAAGTAAAGTAATACAACTAAAGACATTGACAATCAAGATTGGACCCCGGTTTCATTCCTTCCTACTTCACTTTACTTTTTTTTTTTTTTTTATAAAAAAATAGATTTTATTGATTTTTTACAGAGAGGAAGAGAGAGGGATAGAGAGATGAGAGAGAAACATCGATCATCTGTCTCCTGCACACCCCTTACTGGGGATGTGCCCGCAACCAAGGTACATGCCCTTGACCAGAATCAAACCTGGGACCCTTCAGTCTGCAGGTCAATGCTCTATATATTCACTGAGCCAAACTGGTTTCGGCTATATTTTACTTTAAAAAAACAACAACAAAACAAAACAAAACAAAAAAACTCACAATATTATAAAAAAAAGTGTTTATTATGGGAAATTTGGATGATACATAGAAGAAAATAAAAAGTAGCATAATTTTAACTGCCCAGAGAAAACCTCTATTAATGTTTAGTCTTTTTTTTTCTTTAAAAAATATGAGCAAAATAAAATTAGGGTCTTACTGATAAATGATATATATGATGAACATATATGTCTATCTGTGTAATATAAGTGCATTGTATACATACCATGTATGTGTCATTACCATTGTTCCCAATATTTCCTCCTGTAAACAATACTGGCATAGGAACCTCCTTTGTGTAGCACCTATATGTGTATCTATAATATTAACAATGTCAAAGATAACTACCAACATCTTTGCTTATTTTGTGCCTATTCTGTGCCAGGTCTGCTTCATAAAAATCTTAGGTGGTAGGTTGTTATTGATAAGCAATGGAAGGCAGGGGGAGGTAGAGTAACTCCTTCAACATCACTAAGTTATGAGTGGTGAAGTTGGGATTCAAACCCAAACAGTTTGGATCTGATTATCTCCTCAAAATAGAGTCCCAAAATTCAAACTGAGAGGACCAAAGAGTACATCTAATATGTACTTATATGTGTACAATGTACGTATTTTACACTGTCCTCCAGAAATGATGTGCTGATTCATACTCAGCATATTACTATTCTTCTATATGTATAGCCTCACACCAGAGTGTTAGAAAGTCATTATTAATCATGCATATGCATTACATCTGACATATATATATATGTATGTATGTATGTATATATATGATTACATTTTGGTCTTCTTATATATATATGAATAACACAGGAATACAAAAACCAAAATGTTAACAGTATTATCTTTACAGTGGTGGAAACATTTGTTTCTCCCTTTGGGCAAGTCCATGTTTTTGGTATTTTAAAATATGTAATATTTTTTCATTCTAAGGCAATATCTCCACCCCCAACTAATGTTATTTTTTTTTAAATCAATAAAAATATATTTAGAGGGGAAAAAAGAAAAAAAAAAAACACAGATATTTTCTTGAGGCTCCTTGTATATTTTAATTTTATCATTCTGATGTACCATGGAAAACAACATTCACCTTTGAAACAGGCTTCATAAAGTGTTAACATTCTATATAGACAAGAAGTTAAACAGGTGTGTTTTTTTTTCAACCTTTAAAAATAAAAGAAAAACTTAAAAATTTGTCAATAAAAATTAAAATATATGCCATAATGAAAAAGTGAGACAAACTGACCCAAGCGACTTAGTAGTTCACCAATATATTTTGCAATTTCATAGAAGAAATTGGACAACTGTACCTCTGTTGAGGGCTCCATATTCTGTGTGGAAAACTCCAATTAGTTTTGAGTAGCCTAGAATGACATGGGCGTTAATTGCCTTTTTGAATGTGTCACCCCATACAGCTGGCCCACCGGGCTTCATCTGGAAAGTAACCAGTTCATAGACTCCTAGAGAAGGGAGAAAAATTTTACAAAAGATATTCAAGAAATTTCTCATCAGGTGAGTACGGTTCCAGTGGGAGGCTAATGTATATATACAAATTTCAAGGATCATATGTGTATACATGTTTATGTGGACACATTATGAATTCTTTGCATTATTTTTCCTTGCTTCTATGTTTAGAAAGTCTTTGTCCATGTTTAAGGATCAGTTGTTAAACTTATCATACAAAACCAAAGGGAAGCTATAGCAAGCTATTATCTGAAATATTTTTAATCTATAAAATAAAGCAAATATTGAGAATTTGTTATAGGATTAGGAATTTTAGCTACCCAATTCAGGTAAGAAATGAATAAGAAAAGTAGTTTCTGACCTATATGTCCTTCTTCCTCCAATTCGGAGAAAAAATACATTTTTTGTTCATATAATTTCCCTGTATAGGATTCCATTTCTAACAGAAACAGCAAGCAAACAATGGACCCAAAGTGGTATCTGAGATTTTTTTTTTTTAATATATATTTTATTGATTTTTTACAGAGAGGAAGGGAGAGAGAGAGAAAGCTAGAAATGTCGATGAGAGAGAAACATCGACCAGCCGCCTCTTGCACATCCCCTACCGGGGATGTGCCCGCAACCAATGTACGTGCCTTTGACCAGAATCAAACCTGGGACCTTTCAGTCCGCATACCAACGCTCTACCACTGAGCCAAACCGGTTTCAGCGGTATCTGAGATTTTGAGAGAAAAAGAAAAAGCTAAAAAATTGAAGGAGATAGTTGTATTGTTCCTGAATATCCAGGTAAACACTTGGAAAGCATTTTACCTGTGGTAAGAGGAATGGGCCTGATAGAGAGAAAGGGACTAGGGGACAAGTAGATTTGAAAAGAAAAAGGAAAAAAATTATAAAACTATTAAAGAATTATGAACAACACAGAAGAAGAGAACCAAGACTTGACCTTGTTCCAGAAGCTGCTTAGTTCATTTAGATATGCTAAAAGCTAAGTGGGTAAGGATCCACATAAGACTTCTTTTTAAAAATATATATATTTTTATTGATTTCAGAGAGGAAGTCGAAACATCAGTAGAAACATCAATGATGAGAGAGAATCATTGATTGGCTGTCTCCTGCATGCCCCACACTGAGGATGGAGCCTACAACCCAGCATATGCCTTGACTGGCAATGGAACTGTGACCTTCTGGTTCACAGGTCAATGTTCAATCACTGAGCCACGCCAGCCAGGTCAAATGAGACTTTTCAAATATCTGGTAATCTAAGATGATACTATAAAATTAGTTTATGCTTTTTATTTTTATTATTATTATTTTTTAAATATATTTTATTGATTCTTTACAGAGAGGAAGACAGAGGGATAGAGATTTAGAAACATCGATGAGAGAGAATCATCGATCAGCTGCCTCTTGCACACCCCCTACTGGGGATATGCCCACAACCAATGTACATGCCCTTTCCCAGAATCGAATCTGGGACCCTTCAGTCCGCAGGCTGACGCTCTATCCACTGAGCCAAACCGGTCTCAGCCTAGTTTATGCTTTTTTAAAAAAACCTGACCTTTGTTTAAAACTAGGTTGAGGTAAATAGTATTTCCTTAAAGTCTATAAGGAAGTTAAATTAGCAAGAAGACAAATCTTTAGTAATTATGTTCAAACTGAGAAATAAGAAATAAGAAAACAAAAAAGTTAAAATATAGTAATAGAGCTTACACTTTAATTCATCCCCCCGGCCAGTCTTATAAGCAAAGTTAACATAAATGAAATTAAGATACACTTCATTAGCTATAATTTGTGTAAAAAATACAATACTAAACTATGACAAAATTTCATGTTATCCTTCACTGTCTATACTTGCTCTAAATCCTCAACTTTTCAACCTTTACTGCCCATGTCAACTTTTTATATTCATACCAAAACGTTGAGCTTTTTTTTTTTTTTCTTCCAAATTGGAAAAACACTGCTAATGTTCATTGGTTTAGTGAGAAGCTAAGAGCTCAAATTCATTTCACATCTATAATCACAATATAGTACTCTCTAAAACAAAGGTTTATTGTTTTTTTCCCCCTAAGAAACTTTAGTTTTTATAGTTTCAAATGTTTAGTATTTTATACATCAAAACTCAAAGTGACTGGAAGGAATGGACTTACCTTCTTTTGGAGGCTTTTCTAATTTGCACCATGGTACCAGATAAGTAATCTCACTCTCCTGTTTATCCATTAGAGCCAAATTTGGGATAAGGAATTGTTCTTGCCATTCCTTATCTTTGGCCAACGCTTTCCGAACTTCAGTTCGATGAGCAAAATTATCTATGGGAAGAAAAGGAGTAAGGAAAATAAAAACTTTCTATTAAAATCATCTAGACATTTCTTGGATTGCATTCAATTCAGCACATGTTCATCAAGACCATATAGGAACACTGTGTTAAATCGCTGGGATACCCCTCCTCCACACCAAATAGATGGGACATTTATCCTAAGTTTCTCATTGCCTAAAAGGGGTGTAGAAATGGAAACAGCTATAATATATACACCTACAGGGTTGTTATCAGGAAGAAATGAATTAATACATGCAAGAAGCTGAGAACAGTGTTTGGCAGCTAGTGAGTACTCAATTTATATGAACTACTAGATGCCCCTCACAGGAAGATTCCTGCAATAGGGCTTCCTGCTGCAGTCACTGCCCCAACTGCTTCTCACCCTTCTCCCCGCCCCGCCTGCTTGCCTGCTTCCCTGCCTTCCCCGCCACCCCACTTGCTTGCTTCTTCTCAGCTTCGCTCCCTTCTGCAGCACTTGGCTTCTTTCTACCCTATTTTCAGTCTTTGCTCTGGCCTGGATATGCAAATTAACCGCCATCTTGGTTGGGTTAATGTGCATACTCGCCTGATTGGCTGGTGGGCATGGCTTGTAGGTGTAGCGAAGGTACAGTCAATTTGCATGTTTCTCTTTTATTAGAGAGGATTCTTATTACTTTGAGTCATTTATGTTAACAGTTTGGGAAAATACTATTTTCCTTTGGTGGTTGTAATGGTGATGGTGGTCAGGTCTTAAATGTAACATAAATGAAATTAAGATGCAAGTTTACTGCCCTGGCTGGTGTGGCTCCCTTAGTTGTGTATCATCCTGTGCACTAAAAGGTTACTGGTTTGATTTTCAGTCAGGGCACAAGAGTGGGTTGCAGGCTCAATTCCTGGTGGGGCCATGCAGGAGGCAGTCAATAGATATTTTACTCACACATTGATGTTTCTCTCTCTCTCTCTCTCTCTCTCTCTGTCTTTCTCTCTCTCTCTCAAAACAAAATCTTTAAAAATATGCAACTTTACAGTTTCATCTTCTTTGAATAAATAGCTTCCAAAGAAATAATGCTGACTATCTTACTTATTGCCACCTAATGTTTTACCCCGTATTATTTCTCTTCTGTTTGTTACCCAAACAGGTATATGTATTTACTAAGTATATGGACCAAGTACTATGTTTACTATTAGGGCCTCTTAAGATGGATAGTAACATCTACCTCAGAGCTTAAGTCAGTTAAACCAGGACCTCAAGTAATTTTTAAATGAAACAGTTCTACTTGTTTGCACAGAAACACACAAATTGTGTTTTTATTGGGTTTGTTCTATTACAACAGAGAAAACCCCTACCAATGGCCATGTCAAATAGAGAATGAGCATCTTTCATATTAAATAAAGTACTTTATCTGACCAAACACTAAATGAAATTATTAAAAGTGCTTTGGATATCATCAAGTCTTGATGTGCACTTCACAAAGATTTGACACGGGAGTACCAAGCATTCTGGGGATTCCTATAATATCTCTTTCCTCTTCTCAACCAGGATTAGCTCCCCTTCCATAGTGGGAGAACTCTGCACTGCATAACGCTGAATTCCCTAAAACCCTGGGTGTACAAATGACAAAACTGGTTCCATAAACATAACAAATTATTAAGTCTCAGAGTTGGGTGATGCCTAGAAGTTAACTATCATCCACATCAACCTCTGTTACCCACCCTCAAGCTCCTAAATATCTCAACCGTTTCCACTAAAATCCTGACATCCAGTTGTAGCTTCAACAATAAATAAAAAGTACTCTCCTCTCCTTTTATGATCTTAACCCACTTGGGTTTTTACAATTAGTGCTTTAAATTTTTCAGAAATCATCTTTATAATAACCCACTTTACAATTTTTTTCCTGAGAATTAAAATCTAGCTCACAATTTTATGATGTGAAATATGAGAAGCCATTTATGGTAACACAAGGATTTGAACAAGAGGTTGTCAGAGGCATACCTTGCACTGGGAGGAGTAACCAATGGTTTTTTTGTTTGTTGTTGTTCTGCTTTTTTAAAGTTTAACCTGTGTGTATTTATGGTAACGTAGATCTAAGAACCAAGACACATGTAACAACTAACAGAATGAAAATCTGTACTGAATACTTAAGCTGATGACTCATACCATACTTCCAAATATGAAATGCTTTATTCACTCTGCCTCCAAATTCTGCACTCCAGTATCCAACCAATTCAGAGTAAGCTGTCCGGCGATGTACGTTTTTCTTAAAATTTTCCAGAAACTGATTCATCGTTGAAGGCTTAAGAGAATAGGTACGGAATTCATAGAATGTTCCATCGCTTTGTCGAGGTCCCGTAGCAAAAGATGAGCACACCTAAAAAGAGATATGGCAAATTCAAATATCTGGGAAAGGTAGGGCTTATAATATTATGCTACAACTAAATCTGAATTTGGAAACAAGGGATACTCATTAGACTTACCATAGTTCTTGCTTGTATCTCTGCTCTCATCTCTCCATAGATAACTATTTAAAGAGATGTCAGAGTATGGTGAATACATAGCTACTGTTTCCTGGCAGAGGTCCACCATTAGCTATCTTTTCATGAAAAGTTAACCATAATGAGGCACTGGAGTCTTAATCGGTCCTTATTCAAGATTCTAATAAATCTACACATGTTTTACCTTATTTAGACAATATTCTATCTCTAGTCGATGTGTTAGGTGTTACAGTTTTGCATTTAAATGAACTTTATAAAATATGCACATATGCTGGCAGACATGATAAAAATGTGTTTACTAGCAGAGAACTCTTTATGAATTCTGTAAAGGAAAAGAACAAAAGGCCAGAATTGTCTGAATCATTATTAGGTTTAATTACAGATGAATCTGAAGGGCATTTCATCTATCCAATTACACCAGGTTGATGGAAATATCTCTTACAAACCATTAGTTCTTTTTGTATTAGTTACATGCTCACTATATAAATTTTTGTTCTAATTTAGTACCCCTAAAGTGAACTGAGTGAACTTAACTTTAGGTAGGAAATGCCCTACTAGAAATGATCCTCTGTGTATTCATGTGTGTGTGTACATGCACAGGTCAGGTATATGCATATACTCGGAAATGGCAATAGCATTTACAAATCCATCCTATTGTAGTTTTGGTTATTATGTGCCAATTTTCTGAAGCTGATGAATCAGTATTACCTATTTAAAGTTTTGGTGCAAAGTAAATTATGGACAAATTATACTATCTAGTATGTTGAATGAAATTAGTGGACTTCTTTCTCTGACACCAGGGTGTCCCCCCAAAATGTATGCATATTTTGACTAATTATTAATTCCAATGGGTTAAATCTGAAAAGAAAGAAACATCAGCTGTTAAAGTGTGTATACATGTTTTGGGGGGACACCCTATATTTTTGGTTAAAACACACAATTATCTATGTATTTTATTTGATTGTGTAAAATGTTATAGTTTAATGATGGATATTAGTTCATTCCACTGTTGGCTACTAAAGTGACGTTCCTATTGCCGTGTCTAAGCTTCCCTGGGAAGCAGGAATTCCCACCCAAAACAATTGCAGCTGCTCCTACTTTTGGATGACATGCTTTTTGTGTCATTTTAACTAAATTCTAATAAGAGAATGTGATACAAATAAACAACTGCCTGGTATTATCGATAAAAAGCATTATGGATCAGGTATACTGGAAAATGGGACAGGGGGGGAGTATTTGTAAAAATTGCTTTTTAAGTTGATTCTCAGGGAATTTGTATTTGGAAACAAATCCGTGGCCAAAGGTATGAAACTGAGTTTGATAACATTTAGTTTTAAATCCTACCTCTAAAACTAATCTCCCTGTCTATACCTCCTCAGAGACCTGGCCTTTCCCGATTAATTACCAACCTGTAAGGCAGCAGAAGACTGTAGTCCACACCTGACTAATGATCACAAGGTCCAGACCTCTGGGCTAAAGATAACATCTTGCCTAAGTTTTGTGTCAGGTCCTGACCCATAGGTGGAACCACCCACCCCCTGGCTACTTTCCCATTGGACCAGGCAGAGGGATGTTGGGAAAAAACATCAGAGTTGCCCTAGCCGGTTTGGCTCAGAGTGTTGATCTGTGAAATGAAAGGTTTCAGGTTCAATTCTGGTCAAGGGCACATGCCCCGGTTGTGGGCTCGATCCCCAGTGGGTGACTTGCAGGAGGCAGCCGATCCATGATTCTCTCTCATCATGGATGTTTCCATCTCTTTCTCCCTCTTCCTTCCTCACGGTCCTAGGTTAAACCCCTTGGGATCCTGGTCACAGAGAAAGGAGAAAAGTATAAACATCAAAAGAAAAAATATCTCTGGTTAGATTTACAGACTAGAGTCCCCGTGGTCAGCAAACTGCGGCTTGCGAGCCACAGGCGGCTCTTTGGCCCCTTGAGTGTGGCCCTTCCACAAAACACCACGGCCTGGGAGAGTCTATTTTGAAGACATGGCGTTAGAAGAAGTTTAAGTTTAAAACATTTGGCTCTCAAAAGAAATTTCAATCGTTGTACTGTTGATATTTAGCTCTGTTGACTAAGGAGTTTGCAGACCATTGGACTAGACCAGTGTTTCCCAAAGTGTGGTCCGCGTACCCCCAGGGGTACGGGAAGAGTTTGGTGGGGATATGCACTGCACCGTGCTTAGCTGCGCCTAAATCTACGTTCTCATGAGTACGAAGGGTACTCAGCGTTACGAAAATTATAGAAGGGGTACACATATGTCAAAAGTTTGGGAAACACTGGACTAGACCAATTCCCTACAGTGAAGGCTGAATCACAAAAATCTACTTCCTACCTTACTCAACTAAGGTAAAAGGAGTTCATTTGACAGGGCGGGCCAAAGGAGGCTGACAGTTGTGAATATACAAAGCACAGAATATTATTAATTATATCATGTTCCATAGGAGCAACTATCAACCTACTTTTGCCCCGACCTATCTTTCCCAGACCCCCGAGCTGCTGGGAAGGGGGGCAGCTCGGAGGGGGCTGCAGGGCTGGCTGTGCAGGATGCACGCATGCGCGGGCCCAGGTGTGGGCTCGGAGCCCGGAGGCCGCATGCGCGGGTCGGCGCGGCCGCACAGGTCCCTCCCCCTCCCGCCGCCGGGTAGCGGCTGGGGGGCGTCCGCGCGCCCCGTACCTGAGGCGGCCGGATCCGCGCGGCCAGGGCCCTGGTCAGGCCGCTTCGGAGGAGCAGCATGGCGCGGCGCGGGGGCAGCGGCCGGTGATCTTTCCTGGGTTCCTCCTCCTCGTCCGGCGGGAAGCGCCTGGGCAGCCCTCGGACGCAGGCTCGCTCGGGGCGGGCGCGCGGGCGCTGAGCTCCGCCTCCCGCTGTCGAGGAGCGCGGGCCGGTCCGCCCGGTCGGCCGGGCTCCGCCGCGGGTGTGGCCACTGCGGCCACGCACCCCGGGGCGCCCTTTGTTTCCTCAAACCTCCTGACCCCGGACGTGGGAGGTGACGTGGGCCTGGCCGAGCGCCGCGGGGGCCCCGGCGCCGCCCCCCGGCCCCGGCGCCTCGGCTCCTCTGCGCAGTTGCGCGAACTCGGCAGTGTTCGCGCGGGGAGCGCGGCGGGGCGTCCGGGGCGCGTGGTCCTGCGTGGACGCCGTGGCCGGGGGGAGGCAGCTGAAGCCGAAGACAGGCGCCCCCCTTATACTTGTAAGGCTCCCCATGGTGACCTAGATTGTGTGTCTCAGGGGCTCGGAGGAAGGGGGGCACCGAACCAGATGCAGAAAAGTCCAATGGAAACATACATCCTTTGAAATGAAATAGTGTTGAAGCCTTGAAAGCGAACCAGCAGCCGAAACCCGTTTGGCTCAGTGGATAGAGCGTCGGCCTGCGGAATGAAGGGTCCCGGGTTCCATTCAGGTCAAGGGCATGTGCCTTGGTTGTGGGCACATCCCCAGTGGGGTGTGTGTGTGTGCAGGAGGCAGCTGATGGATGTTTCTCTCTCATTGATGTTTCTCTCTATCCCTCTCTCTGTCTTCCTCTCTGTAAAAAAAAAAAAAAAAAAAATCAATAAAATATATTTTAAAAAAAGAAAAAGAAAGAAAGCAAAACAGCAGACCTCTCGAAGTTGTCCTCCCTGCTGCCCCTTATCATGGGTCCCCAGAGTTAACGGCAACGTTTCGGGGCGTATCTTCTGATGCTTGTTCCCACCGCCACCCTACCCCATCACCCCCTTTTCTTCCTGACGTTTTCTGTCATTCCTTGATATTTTAAATCATAGGTATGTCTATTGCTTGGAAAATGAGGATTAGGTCGCTTACCTACCACTCCCCGCAAAGACACTTCTTTCCCCACACCTGATGATGATGATGCTTCCATTCAGTCTAGTTCGTTGTTACATCAATCTGCATTATATTGGTGTTCACATTTTTTCTTACTAATCACATTGTTATACACAATACGTAACGAAACACAGGATTAGAGTAGTTACCGCGCCCGGAAACAATACTGCTTGGCCATCAAGCAGTATTGTGAACTCCTGCATGGCCACCACCTGTGGTTTGTGCAGACTTTGAATCATCTGTTCAGAGGATTAGTCATTCTCCGAGGGGGCGCTCCAGGTTTTCCAGTCGATGGGCATTCACTTCTAACCAGGCAAGACAAAACAAAGCAGCACCGGTGCCCAGAGGGGATCTCTATGTTTAAATGTATTTTATTAGGCAAAACATGGTATTAATTCATTCGCACATTCAGGTCATATTTATTAAATCCCTTCTATGCTTGTGGCACATATCCAGAAACTGGTACAGAGGTGAACAAAAGACAAAAAAATCCCTGCCCTTTTGTTGGAGGAAACAGATAAACATGGAGAGAAAACATATCAGGGAATACTAAACGCTGCGAGGAAAAACAAAGTAGAATATGGAAAGAGTGCAGGAGGGAATGAGTAGAGACTGCTAACCGTTTTTCCAATATCCATTGCCTCTCCCCTCTCTCTCCCCCCGTTTTTAAAAATTAGTAATAGAACCCTTGCACTTCGATCTATCCATGTGACCAAGTCCTGGCCAATGGGATGTTAGTGTGTTTATGACCTACTATGAGTGATCTTAAAGCAGTGTTGGAGGGTTTGTTCCCCTGGTTGTCCCTTTCTAATTTCTGCTTGCTGGGATGTGGATATAATGGCTTAAATTCTTGAATTGTGAAGTATAGTAGCCTCATGCTGAAAATGGCAGAACAAGATAAAAGAAGCCTAGGTTCTGACACCAGGGGGCACCATAGTAGGTGCCTAGGACTGCCCATCTCTGGACTTTTTTTTTTTTTTTAACATGAGAAATCATCTTCTAGTTTAAGTCACTGCTGAGTGGCTAAGACCAGTGGTCAGCAAACCTCTGCTCGAGAGCCACATGCGGCTCTTTGGCCCCTTGAGTGTTCTAAGGCCACTTCTTCAAAATAGACTCACCCAGGCCAAAAACCGACGTCTGCGCATGGGCCACGAAGTTTCAATCGCACTGTATGTGCGTGCCTGCACGTGGTATTTTGTGGAAGAGCCACACTCAAGGGGCCAAAGAGCTACATGTGGCTCGAGAGTCGCTGTTTGCCAACCACTGGCTTAGACCTATGATCTTAATCAATAGGAAGTGATTATTTTTTCTTCCTCTTTTTTGTTTGTTTTCTTTATATCTATCATTTATTAACCAACATTTTATTATTATTATTATTATTTTGCCAACAGATACTTTTCTTCTCAATATGATTAAATTAATTTAACAGCTTCTCAGTTTCACCCAGGGTTATCTTTTGGGAGTTGTTTGTTGTATTGCTCCAGTGTGGTCTGGTTCTCTAAGATGTATTTCTTTTCACTGACCTGGGAATCTCATTTGCCTTAGGTTGGACCTTCTCTTTCTAGGATTTTGTATCTCCTTTTCTCCTCCTAATATTAGGAGAGGGTACATGGAAATTAGACTTTTGAGACTTGCAAGTCTAAAAATGTTTTATTCTGCCAACTCTCTTGATTCATATTTTGGGTAGGTATAACAATCTACATTGAAAATAATATTTCCTCCTACTTTTCAAGGCAATTCTCCATTTTATTAAGCTTCTAGTTATACATTTGTGACATTCTGAATCCTATTTTTTTTAATGTGACTTGTTTCTCTCTCTCCCTTTGGAACCTTTTATGTTTTTCTCTTTGTCCCTGTGTTCTGAAATTTCACAATATCCATTGTTCCTCATTCACTGTACCCTCTTAATTTAGACACTTTTCAATCCTGAAAATTTTATTGTGTTTCCTAGATTTTTTTTCTTGTCAACATGTTATTGTGCCTCCACTATTTTACACCTCTACTTTTTGGGTCTAGGTTTTTTTGGTGTAAAGTACAATTTTATCTTCTATCTCATCTATTGAATTTTAAACTTCAGTTTTTATAATATTTATTCCCCAAATCTCCTTTTTTTTAAAAAAAAAATCCCTTCTCCAGAGTGTTTATTTCTATATTTTTAGAAATAATATCCTCTTTTGTTTTGTGGATTTAGTATTTCTGTCTCTGAGGACATTAATTATAGGTGTTTACTTTTTAATTTATTGTACAAGAGGCCTGGTGCACGGATTCCTACACTGGTGGGGGTCCCTCAGCCTGGCCTGTGCCCTCTCTCCATACTGGATATCCCTTGGGGGATATAGAAGTGCTGGAAGCAGCAGGCAGACAGGGAGGAGTCTGAGCCCAGGTCGGACGCCTGCTGTCACCGCTCAGTAGCACTGCTGTGGAGGCGGGAGAGGCTCGCACTGACACAGCGCTTGCCAGCTGTGAGCCCAGTGTCTGGCATCCAATGGTCAGCTAAGTGGTACTCCCACTGTGGGAACACACTGACCACCAGGGGGCATATCCTGCATTGAGCATCTGCCCCCTGGTTGGTTATTTTGGTCATTTGGTCACTTAGGCTTTTATATATATATATATTTTGTTTTGTTACATATATATATATATAGATAGATAGATAGATAGATAGATAGATAGATAGATAGATTAGGTCTTCTTCCTGCATTATTTGTTTCTTTTATGTTTTCTATCATTTGATCTGTTTTCTGCCTAGATGCTAGTGTTTTTCCAAAAATATTTTTGTTGTGATCCTTGGCTATCAGCTCATATTTTGAAGTAGGCAAAATTTGGACAACTCTTTTAGTATGGGTGGGGCCTGACAAATAGTGGGCTTCACTGCGGAGTTGGCTGGCTGGGCTATTCAATTGAGGGGAAATATCCCTGTCTGTTATCATCTGTAAGTTATTTCTCTCAGTGTAGTCAGTTACCCTGTGAGAAAACTTCCACGGTCCCATCTGTGTGTTATTAAGACTTATTGCCAATTTCCTGTAACTGAGGAGGGAAGGAGGCTGGATACCTCAGTATTTTGTAGGTAGCCATTCGCTTAATTTTTATGTTCAGGACTGGTTCTAATCCCTGCAGCTGTGTCTGGTATTCATGAACGTGCTTCAACTTTTAAAGAATGTATTCAACAGGATAGGCTCACTGTTGTAACAAATGGATGCCAAATTCATGTCTCAAACACAACAGGATTTTATTTCTTTAAGAATCCAAAATGTGTTTTTCTCATTGCCAGGCAGTTCTTTCCCACGTGGTGAATTAGGACCAGGTTTTTCCTATCCTGTGGCTTTGCCATCGTGGAGCTCCATCAGCAGCAGCACCCAGCCAGCGAAACGGCAGAATTTTCAAGATGAAATATTTAACAGTGAAGATTAAATTTTTCCTACTGCAATGTAGGAAAAATGTTGGTAAGTGCTGCTAGGTGTCTAAGACAGTCTCATATTTACTTTTTCACAGGTTTTCATTATCTTACAAACTCTGAGAGTTAAGCTTTGTCTCCAAGCTTAAGGTGAAGTTCTGAGAATTTTTTCAAGTTCACTGTTGCTAAGTGGTACATTGGGGTTTGTGGTGGGAAATTGCCTCTAAAACAGTATTTAAAAAGAAATGTTTTTCTGTGGCATAAAATAAAATAAAATAAAATAAAAAATAAAATAAAATAAAATAAAATAATAATAAAATAAAATAAAATAAAATAAAATAAAATACCTAAACTGCCCGGAAGATACCTAGAGGAAGCATTTTGAAAATTATTGTGTGTATTCTAAACTTCTGACAACTGGTCCAAAGGACATGTAGTCCAAAGCTAGATAAGTCAGGTTTATTAAAATAGGGTAATGTGGCCAAAACTGGTTTGGCTCAGTGGATAGAGTGTTGGTCTG